CAGGGCACCCACTCCTGCTCTGCCCGTTTCTGTGGTCAGCTCTTATTGATACACCTGAAGGAGAATTTGAATGTTTTTTCTCTGCACTGTTTACTTTGGTTGTTGAAAAAAGAGGGGTGGACAATGGCAGCACAGGGCTGCTCAGGATGTGTTTGTTGTGGACGCGCAGTGTTCTTCTCATGGTGGGTGGTCAGAGGGAGTGAGGATGCATTTCCCATGGACTCACTGCTTTTTTCCCCCCTCTCTCCCTCTCAATTCATTTGTTGTTCTGCCTTCCCACCCAGTAGGGCCGTGCTGCACAGTGCCAGGAGGGGTGCAGTTCACCATGCCATAGGAGTGTCATTTTCCTGTTCCAAGGGATATCCCAGTTTGGGGCTTTTCAGTGCTTATTTTAAATTGCTGCTTGCCAGCACCATACCCATGCGTTGCTTTTTTGCTTGCTGGTCTGATTCCTGGCAAGGTTTGCAGGCCTGAGACATGCTCAGGTACTGTGGAATAGTATAGTGTACATATATATATAACTATAACTATATATAACTATATATATATATATATATATATAACTATAAAATAGTTATATATATATAACTATTTTCATCCCTCAGGATGACAATAGTTGATCTGCTCTAGGTTGTCTCTCAGTGTGATCCACCTTTCAAAACGTGGATTAATCTATAGCTGTGGCACTGGCTCACGGTGAGGCCAGTTGTCCCACTGCCCCCAGCCCAGAGGGGGGGATTTTGAGGAGACAGCAGGAGCCGGGCTGCAGCGTGGGCAGCAGCAGCTGTTACCCGGCCATGCCTTATGGCAGCTCTGTGCTTTGGGCTGCTCGTGCTGCTGCTCAGGGCCGAGTGCGGGATCAGCCTAAAAGGGCCTCGTTGGACGCCTTCGGATCCTTCCCAGTTTGCCCAAGGACCGCTCCGGCTGTCCCTGTCCCACATCCCGCTCGCTGTTACCCGGCGCCCCCCCCCCCTCGCACGGGCGCAGCGCGGACCCTTTGCCGGGTGTGAGCGCACCGCGTGCCCGCGCACAGTGGGTTCGTTGTGCCGGCGGCCCTCGGCCGTGCGCTGGGATCTATAAATACCGCCGGCTGTGAATGCGGCCCATTCATCGCTCCGCTCCGGGGGTGCGGCGCGCATCTTCCGCTCCTCCCAGCGATCGCCCGGGTCGCGGCCGGCGGCTGCCCCGGTGTGAGCGGCTCTGTGTCGAGTGTCGTCCCCGTCGCTCGGGACTCGGTGTCTCTGGGAGAGTTCCCGCCTCGCTCCCTCCCCCCCCTTCTCGGTTTGCACGGGGAAATGAGTGGAAAATGCTTGAAATCCTCCTCGGAGCCGAGCTGTTTTTTCCACTGACCGTCACCGTTCCCCCGGGGCCGCCCAGGCGCCGCTGCCCGGCTCTGACCCACGGAACTCCGAGCCCACCCGCCCCTTACCCGGCCGTGCCACCGCGCTGCCAACTTCCACCCCTGCCCCCGGGCTGCCCCTGCCCCCTTCCCGGAACCAAATCCCCGTCCCTCCTGTCCCTCCCGTCCATCAGCCCTGGCGCTCAGTGTCCGTGTTCTCCTCGTACCTATCTGAGCTCTGCTCCTCTCAGCCTGCCGCTTCCCGTCCTCCCACCCTTCCTCCTTCCATTTGCCACAAACAAATCTCTCCCTCGGGCGATATGCAGTAAATACAGCTTTTTATTTCGTATCCCCGCGTTACTCTCCAGCCTCCCTTCAGACAGCCCTCGGCCCGTCTCAGCGCCCAGCCCGCGGGGGACCCAACGCGGTGACCCGAGCCCGGCGCTGCGGGGCGCGGCCCCAAGGAGAGCAGCGGGCGGGGCGGGGGGGCCGTGCCGTGCCGTGCCGAGCCGCTATTGGCCCGGCGGCCGGGAGGGGCCGAGGGGGCTGCGGCTCCGCAACGGACACCTGGACCCCGGCCCTCGGCCCCCGGCCGCCCGCAGCGCCGGGCCGCAGCTCCGGCACACGTCAGACCGCGGGGCCGGGCTGCACCCGCCGCCCCCGTCCGTCCGCTCGGCGCTTCTGCCCGCAGGGAGCGCGGCTCCGACGGAGGCTCAGCAGAGCCCGAAGGTAAATCCGGATCCACGCGGCTCCCTCGGGTTTGTGCCGGCGGGGCCGTCCCGCAGCGCGGTGCGGGGCCGGAGGTGGCTCAGCTCGGAGCCGAGGTGGCGGTGTGGCGGACCGGCGGCGGTTTGTCCCAGCGCTGCCAGCTGCCGGCTGTTTGTTTGCGGCTAACTCAAACATCAGCCCTCCCGTGTTTGGTTTTGTGCTTTGTGCTCCCTGGTGCTCGGGGCAGAAGCCCTTTCTTGTGCAGATCCCGATACGGTTAGATGTGTCAGAGCGCACGCTGGGGTGGTGTTGGCAGCAGCTCGCGTTCTTTTACGCGCGCATACGTGAACTCTTATCAATGATTGTGCTTTTTTTTCTGTTTGCCTTCTAACTGAAAGCGGTTCTGAAACGCTTCTGGAGCAGCTCTGCAATGCGGGTTTGTGCGTGGGTCTGCCCCTCTCCCGTGAGCTGTGCGGGGAGCGGTGGCCCGGCTCAGCCCCTGCCCTCCTCTGCTCATCTGAGGGAAAACGTAGATCAGATCCTTCTACCAAAAGCTCATTGGCAATTCCCATATGTGACAAAACATCTGATCTCAGATGTGAAACGCAGCTTCTGAGGAGGTGTGGGCATTCCTTTATATGCTCACATGTCCTTTGAGAAATACTTTTCTAATAAAAGACCAACTGAATAAGTGCCGTCGTGCCTCTGTTAAGCATTCCTGCTCTGCACTGCCTCAAATGTCTGCTGCTGAGTGTGGGCACAGGACAGGCTGCCAGCGGTGTGCTTTCCTAACAGGGCAAAATGTGGTGGCTGAGGGCACTGCAGTGCTTCCCTTTGGGTTTTGTGCAAATTTAAAAAAGATTTGAAAGTTCTCCAAGTCAATTAAAGTCAAGCAGGGAAAAATAGGCTGCCCTTTGCCCGAGTGGTGCTTTCTGTGGAACAAGGTGAGGCACCACCAGGGAGAACTGAGTCTCCTTCTTTATGCCGTTTGTTGCTTGAAGGGCGCGAGGCGGTTTGCCCATCAGCAGGGGGCCGTAGCCGTGTGTGTGGTTTGGGAAGGGCTCTTGCATTCACATGGATGTGGGAGTGGAATCCTCCAAACGCAGGCAGTGTGTGGTGAGGCTGCGGGGCTGGAAGTACTCCTGCTGTAGTTGCTGGGAGTTGCCGGGGGGGCCTGCAGGGGCTGTGCTTGGCTGGGGGCTTCTGGGTGACGTGGGGTCTGTATCCATCCCCTGGGGAGGGAGACGTTGCTCTGTCCCTCTGCCCATCACGTCTGGCAAAATGGAGTGCGAGAACCCAGGACTGACAGTGGAGGTGGCTGTTCTGTGTGCAAAATGCTGTTTTGGCCAAGGCTGAGATGCAGTGCGTTGAGATGAGATATGATGCAGTGCAATGAGATGCCCTCCAGAACCTCCCGTGCCACTGTGTGTGCAGGTCCCGCAGCAGTAGTAGCAACTGGGGGCTTTGCACAGAAGTTGCAGAAAGGTGAATGCAAAATTCAGCCTGAAGTGTCTCCTCCTCTTGTCTGATGGGAGTGGTGAAGGGACTCTGATGGAGAAGCAGCTGAAGGCAGCTCTGGGCCTTTGGGAAGGGGGCGGCACAGGGAGGCTGCTGGCAGTGCCTTTATGTGGCTCCACGTCAAGCTGGCAGTGGGGACGGAGCTGCTCAGCTCTGCGCTCCGGACAGCACTGCAGGCACAGCCGCATTCCAGCAGAGCCAGGGGTCTGCTGCTTGGTTAATGATTGAGCTGCAGTAACCTCCTGCAATAATCCTCCTGTACGAGAGCCTTTCTGAAAGTCACCTCCAGCAACAGCACTGACTCTGCCTGGCTGTCGGGGCTGGGCACAGAAGTGTAAAGAACCAGGCTCCTTTTCCTATTTCCAGCAGGAAATGCTTTAGATGTGCTCTCTTCCTGCTGCTGCCCGTCCTGGGGCTCCCACACCGTGTGCAGGCAGCACAGAGCTGCCTGTGCCACACTCTTTGAGACCCACACTCACTTCCCTGCAGGATCAGGGCTCTCCTACCTCTTCTGGCCCCCTCAGCTGCTCCGGGCTGCATCAGGGCCCAGACCGACCTGGGGAGGGCAGCAGGGTGATGCTGGGTGCACTCCTGAGCCATGTGCTCCTGCATCCCTCACTGCCCTCACTGCACTGCTGGCTTCCTTTTGCACCTGTCTCTGTGTGCTCTTCCCCACTTCTGTTGCCAGGCACTACCCGTCCTGGTTAATGATTGTCTGCCTGTGCCACGTGGGGCTGTTTGTGAGACCCCGCAGGGATCCTTATCAGACAAGGGCACTCGTCACCAGTGCCACTAATGGGCTGACAAACGTTAACGGCTGCCTGGGGAGCAAACAGCAGCGCGAGGTCCTCCCTCCCTCGGAGCCTTGCATCCCCCCATCTCGGTGAGGGATGCAGCAGCCGAGCTGCCCAGGGGATGTCTTTGTGTTGGGTCCAGCAGCCAAGTGGGGGGTTGGAGGTGATGCTGCTCTGAAGGTGCGATTGTGTGGCCGCTGCGCTCAGCACAGGGAGCCTGGAGGTGCTGACCCACAGGGACAGGCGGCTGCAGGCTGGCTCTGGCTGGCTGTGCCCCTGCTAATGGCTGGCCGCAGAGCTCAGCACCGCCCGGCCACGCGGGGATTTCCTGCCCGTATCTGGGAAGTGGCGGTGTGTGACCGCAGTGTGTGGGGCTCTGCTCGAGCCTCTCACTGAGGCTGTGCTGCGCCTGGCTGCAGCTGCCTGTGATGCTCGAGGTTCAGTGCTCACCGAGTGCTTCTGTCACCACTCAGGGAAAGCGGCTGTGCTCCCAGCGGTGCTTCTGGGCAAGTGGCATCGAGAGAGGATGCTGCCGACCTGTCGCTGTGTTCCTGCCTGAGAGCAATTTGTTTGCAAGGGCGGATGGAGGGGTTTCTGTTCCCCACTCCCGCCGCTTTTTTTTTTTTTTTTTTTTCCCCCTATGAGTTTCACAAGAATATTTTAACTGCCATCGAGGGCACAAGTTCAGTTTCTGAATGCCCCTTTGTCTGATGCAGCACAGAGGAGGCAAGCTCCCCCCATGCCTTTGAGGAAAAGCAGCAAAGTGCTTCCCCAGCACCCTGCACAGCAGTGCTACTGCTACATTCCATCTGCGTGCATGGAGGGCTCTGTGCTGCAGCCTCTGCTCAGCACTCACTGAGGAGGGGGCAGCAGAAGGGCTACGGGGCAGCATCTCTGTCCTCCCATGTGAAAATGCAGCTGGGGGCTGTGGCAGCCACCCTGTCACAAGACTGCAGGGATGGTGATGCTTGGGGTGACTCAGAGCTCATGACCTCATTTCATCAGCGTCGTTGGGCAAGAGCAGAACCTCGGGGCAGTTTCAGCCTCCTTCTCCCAGGCAGATCACTGCCCATCAGCCCTCCGCGTGATCCTCCTCTGCCCCCCCCATTACCCCGAGCAGCAGTGCATGCCCCAGCCCCTGGTGAGGTGTCAGCCCTCATCACGGCTCTGTGTGGAGGGAGCAGGGCAGGGTGCTGTGGTAGGAGTGTGTTCCTGGAGCCCTGAGGGCTGTGCCAGCAGCTCAAACGCAGACAGAGGGTGGAAACTCTCATCTTCCCTCAGCTGCAAATAATGGGCTTCTGAAAAAAAAAAAAAGTCTGAAGAACTGAAGCACCCCTGAGGTTGTGTGTCTGAGGTTGTGCTGCCTCAGAACCCCGCTTCCTCCTGGTTCCACCCAGCCCTAAGAGCCTTTCCCCTGCAGGCACAGGGCTGAGCCCCAGGTCTGTGGGCTGCCCTTACTTCATCCTGCTTGTTGCATTCAACATTCTCACATCCATCTCTGAATCTTTTTACCTTTAGTTACAGCTATTCTGATTTTGAACTTCTGCTGCTAATTTGGAGCAGGGAGCACTTCTTGCTGCGTGGTTGTGCAGCCCCATTGGTTCCTGTGGTGCGTGCATCAGCTGTGCCTGTGGGCCGGATCTGCTGCTGACACTGCCTCAAGCTCCAGGCACACGTGGTGCTTTGCAGCCAAGTTAAGCTGTGCTGCTGCTCTCCTTTCCCACACCTGCTGCCTGCACACACGTTGGAGCATCCCCAGCACTGTTGCTTCTCTGGAGCAGCAGCAGATATTTCAGGCATTTTGCTGCAGCAGCTGAATTGTGTCAAGCTGCTTCGCACATCGGAGAGGTGAAGCAGCCCTGCTGAAGGAGCACGGTCAGGGAGGTGCTGCAGCTGCGTGGCGGCACCTCTGGGGGTGCAGGAGCTGTGAGCTCGGGCTGACTCCCCTTTGCCTCAGATTCCTCCCTAGAAGAGGGGCAACAAAGGGCGTCCCTCTGTGAATGGTCTGTAGGCTGTGAATGCTCAGGGACAGCACTGCGTGGCACACCAAGCTGTGTCGGTGCTCGTGTCCCAGCAGTGCCCTGGCACAGCTCTGTGCCCTCAGCACTGCACTGGGTGCCTGTGTTCCCCTGCTCAGCACTGTGGGAGCTCTGTGGCTGTTCTGAGACAGCTGCCTCTGGCTATGAGGTTTCCACATCTCTGTCTCGGATTCTGTGCAGGGATGTTGATGTGAAAGTGGTGTTTGTGCCTCCAGAGCCCCCGCATGGTGCTGTGCTCCTCACTGGAACAAATGCAGCACTGTGCAGCCCACCTGGGCACTGCTTGTGGCCCAACCCTGCTCACACTGCCTGGCCTTCGCATTGAAATCCCACCCTGCAGGAACAGCACTGCTGGTACTGAGGTGGCACAGCTCAGCCCTTGGGGAGGCTCTAAGGGACACTGGGACAGGGCTCAGTGGGTGCTCAGGGGATGGAGGGGCTTGCATGGGATTGTGGATTTGAGACTGGTTTTGCTCAAGCCCTGCTGGTGGTGCACAGACACCTCTGCAGAGGATGCACTTGTGTGCTGCCATCCAGAGCACAGCTCCTGAGGCACTGGTGGCTGAGCTCCTGCAGGGGCTGAAAGGGTTAAATCTACTTTGCTGTGTTATTTAAAAAAAAAAAAAAAAAAAAGAAAGAAAAAGCCATTTCCTTCATGTCCAGAGACAGTTTATTTTCTGGGCATTCTTCAGGACTCGGGGAGGTGCCTTTTCTTTAAGGCATTTCCTGTAAGCAAGTTTATATTTGGACTGGGGAGGGGGCGGAGAGGAGGCGGGTGGGGATGGAGCCAGAACTTGGTGGGGTGACCTCAGCTTTTGGCTGCTTCTCCCAAATTGTTCAAGGTGGGGGAAGGAGGGGACCTGCATGTCCCTGTCCTGCTGGGCCCTGCAGTGGCTGTCCTGCTTGCTGGTGCCCAGGGCACATTACACAGCTGGGTCAGACCGAGTGGGACAGAACAGAGCCCTGTCTGTGTTGGACCCTCTGTGGTCCAAGTAGGTGCCACATCCCCTCAGCACACCGTGCCTTTTGTAATCCCTTTGGAATTCCCTTCTTGCTGTTTCTGACCTGCCTCATGGCTGCCTCAGTGCTGCAGAGCAGCGGGGACCCACTAAGTTCAATTAAGCACTATTCTCTCTGGTGCCTGTGAAGGTTTCTGGTTAGCATTAGGCAGTTATGGGACAGAGGGTTTTATCTTCACCATGGTTTGCCCCTGCTAACGCTGCAGGAGCTGTCCTGCCCTGCCCAAGGAAGGACTTGCCATCCCTGCAGGTGATGGGCACATCCCTGCCAGAGCCCAGATTCCAGGGCTCGCTGTTGGCCACCTCTGTCTAACTGTGTTCCTGCTGCCCTCGCGGTCGCTTTGGTTCTGGTTAAAAAGAAACATAAAGCAGGCAGGTAATACGTAGGATCATCAAAGCGCATTGTGCTCTTGGTGTTTGCAGAACAGATTGAACTCTTTTCCTGCTGATACTTGATCAGATGTTTCTTCTTGTGCAAAGTCACCAGGGCTTACTGCAGGAGCTGCGGCTGCCGGGGGTAAGATGCAGCAGGTTGGGGTCGAGCAATTCTCCCATTGTTCCCCGTGCCAAGTTTCTTCTCCCCCATTTTGTTTTCTTTTTATTACTGTGATTTCCTAACATCGGAAGAGGCGAGTTATGAAACTGGAGTTATCCAAACACGTCTTGTTTGAAGATAGCGTTTCATCCAGCAGATGCAGCTTCCTGCCCTGTAAATGGTTTTCATTGTTTCTCCTTGGCTGCTGTCCTATGGCTGTTGGGGCCGTGGTGGTGCCGTGGGGCGGGCAGCCCCCAGCAGGGTGTCGTGGCAGTGAGGCACTGTGATGGAGCTGAGCTGTGAGCGCTGCTGCTGGGGGTGGCACTGGGATGTCGGGGGGCTCGCTCTGGGCTGCCCCTGTGTGTGGGTTGGGAAGGCATGAGCTGCTTTGGGACTGGTGGGTACCAGCTCAGGTGGGCCGTGTCTTTGGTGGGAGGTGGTCAGCTTTTCCTGTATGTGTTTGTTCTCCTATCTAGAAAGTGGGATTTGGTGCCATTTCTCAGCCGGTGCTCAGCACTGCTCCAATTCCATATGTCTGAGTGGGATCAGACCTTAGGGCCCGTGATCAGTGCCAGCTGCTGAAATGGAGACAGGAAACTGCAAAGCAGTCACAAGCATCACGCTGTCACCCGCTCCTTTCGTTCACATTCCAGCTGCACACCAGGGCTGTATGCAAGGGCAGCTGCTGGTCTGAGGTTTGCCTTTGAGCTGTGAAAGAGGAACAAATCAGAGGAGATGGTGAGAGCGGCCAGGTGATGCTGTTCGGGTTGTCAGGGATTGTTCTTGACACAGCAATCGTGTCCTTCTCAGGTCTGTCATAGGTAGGAGGTGAGTGCCTGCCGGAGCCAGGGCTGGGGTTGGGTTCACGCTCCCCTTTGTGCCTGGCATCTGTTGTTTCCCTGCCTAAAGACTGCGGAGCTCTCTCTGCCTTGTGGGTGCTCGCACTGCAGCTGCCCCTGATGGGGAACCGTCAAACCACCATCTGACCGTTGTCTCTGACTGAAGGGTTTTCCAGTAGGACGGTTAAATAGGAAATAGGGAAAGTAGTGATATGCTCCTCAAACAGCTGCTGCAGAGATGACAGATGTGTGTGTCAGTGAGATGGGAGGCCGGTCTGCTCCCCACCCCACGAGTGATGGGTGATGTCTGCTGCGGTGGCAAGGAGCTGGAAATCCCATGTTGGTGATGGGAGCAGCCAGCCCCCAGCACAGCCACAGGAGTTGGTGGCTGAGCGCTGAGGGCTGGCAGTGCTGGTGGGGCTGTCCATTGCTCTGCCCCGCTGCTCACTCCCTGGTGCTCTCATCTGTGGGAGCAATCATTTACTTTTTTTTTTTTAATTTCTTTCTTCTCATGAATGGGGGGGGGATTTTGGGCATGTCCTTTACGGGATGTGAGGCCACAGATGTTTGCTCATTAACTACGCCCTGCAAAGCTGCTGGCAGGGATTTGCACGTTGACGCTTTTCCTTCCTGCTCTGCCATGGCCGCCTGGCCCCGCGCTGCCCCCTCCCACTGCCCTGAGCCGTGCTGTGGGGCCCTGCTTGCTTTGGTGTGCTGAGGTGTACAGCAGGGCTATGAAGGAGCCTTCATCTCCGTCTCTGTGCTTTGGTCACAGCCTGTCAGGGGGTGGAAGGGAGCGGGGTCAGAAGGTGGAGCGATTGGTGTTTGATGAGGTTCATCCTCTGTCTTCGTAGAGGAGGAAATACGGAGAACTGAGAAACTTGCCTTGGCAGAGCGAGCCCTGCTGGCACAAGTCCTGCCCCAGCAGAGGCAAGGCTGCGACCCCGGCCCCACACTGGGCTGAGGGTGCTGAGCTCCGCCATCCCCGGGATCCTCCTGGGCTGCAGTGGCCGCTCCTCGCCTGCCCCACTGTGCCCCATCCCGGCCGTGCAGGAGCCGCGTGTGGCTCCCGGCAGCATGGCGATGGGCTCGGGGACGTGGGTGCTGTGCCTTCCTGTGCGCTGGGCTCTGAGTCCCTTCAGAGAACAGACGCTACTCAGAAATCAGTGACTCATAAAAATAGACGTGGATGATTTTTAGAAAGGTGCGAGCTGTGTGATTTACCGCAAATGTCATCAGCTGCAGCTCTGAGGTAGGTGCTCTCTGAGGGAAAGGGTTGCTTAGAAGCATGTAGGCAGCGACAGCACTGCTGGGTCTGAGCCCTGATGGTGTGAGGAGCCAGAGCCCTGAGTGGGTCTTGCTGTGACGGAACTCCTCCTTCAACGGGGGATTTCACAGGGATGGGAAGCTGGAAAAAAAGTGTCTGTTCCATCCGCAAGGTGCTTCTTGCCAGTAAGTGGCCTCTGTTTTCTAATGTTGATGATGCAAATGCTTGGTGTGTTGAGTTTGGGATTCCTGCTGCCTTCCAGCTCTGGGGCTCTGCTCAGTGTGACCCGGGGAGGTTTTCCCTGCTCCTGACCCCGCTGTGTGCAGCTGCTGCAGGTAGAGCACCACTGGGATCACTGGGCAGGGATGTGAGCCTGCCTGAAGCCCTCAGGTGGCCACAGAGTGCTGTTAACGATCAGAGCTACAGGAGAGGGTCATTTTCACCATTGCTGAGAATTATTTCCGTTGCTTACAGCACGTGTAGGGGTTTAGGAGTGGTCCCCATGGCTCCCGTTGTGCGTAAAGGGGTGGGACTGTGCCTCAGTGCAGGTGGGTGGGTGGGTGTGGAGGGGGGAGCGGGGCTGGCCTGGCAGAGCTGGCTTCCTTGGTGCCAGGACCAGCTGGGTGAGCCGGGTCTGTAATTCCCACTGCAGACACAAGGTTTGTCTTTCACTGGGGTTCAACATCTTGATTGTCAGGCCAGCATGTGAGTCTGTAACATTGCTTGAGGCCAGCTTTTGCATCCTGTTTTATGATATTCCCTGACATTCCCCACATTCCTGGCAAGGAGATGTCTGTATTTAAAAAAAAATATATTCCTTTGTCTCTTTGCAGAACTGTGACATCCTTTAAAACTACTCCTCAGCAGTTCTGTTGGCTGCTCTCTCTGTTAGCTTCTCAAGGAAATGGAAGCCTTGAGCTCAGGCTGCTGCCTCCACCATCTCGTGGTGGGGAGGAGGATGGGGGGAATGGCCCCTGTGGGGCTCAGCACAGCTCCATGAATCTCAGCTCCGTGCTGCTTGGTCCCACCTTTGCTCTGGGGTTTAATTCTGACCTCCATATGTTTGTGGTGACTCTGTGCTTGTGTTGCCTATCTCAGCAGTGTGGTCTAGGGGTTCTGGTTTGGGAGAATTTTGCAGAGTGCGAAGTCACCACTGTGGTCCATGGGTTGGAGCCCTGCCCTGCGTTGGCCTCTGCCCTGCTACTGGATATCAGGAGGAAAGTCAGAGGGCACAGGGGGCTGTGCAGTGCTATGTGCAGTGGGGATGAGAGCTGTTGTGCTCCCCTTCAGGTACTGAGAACAAGGTGGGGAGTAAATGGGCTGATGTGTAAGGGTGGGGGTTTGTCCCGAACCAATACTGCTTGCTAAGTATTGGTGTGCATGATGCTAAGCTAAGCACCAAGCTAAGCTGTGGTGTGCATGATGAAATATCAGCGACAATGTGGCTGCACCTCAAATGGACCAGAAGACCAGGCTGAGGAGGAGCATGAACCCACAAACGCGCCCCCAGGGCTGCCTGCCTCCCCCTCCCCGGGGTCTGTGCTCCCGCTCCCCTCTCCCACCTCCAGACGCTGCCTGGCTGCAGACCCAGGCGGCAGCTCCTGCCCTGCTGCTGTGCCTGGAAATAGCAGTCTGGCTTCCTCCCGTGGCGCCGTGGGAGCAGCAGTGACAGGAAGGTCCGGCAGGGAAGGGCACAGAGGAGGCTTTTCCTGAGGAGAATTGGAGCAAAGTCCCTGTGCTGAGTGCAGAACTCACTGAGCTCATTGCCCACCTTGCCTACAGTGTGCTCCTGCTGGCTGAGCCCAAATGGCCCCCAGCACTGTAAATAGGGCCACTGCTTATCGCTGGTTGGCTGTGCGCTGCTGGCTTGCTTTTAGCAGCACCATTTGCTTTTAGACAAGACTTCTCAGTTCAGGGACTCCACTGACCTCCTGCATCAACACAGCTTTGCAGCGCTTTGAGAAGCGCTGGTGCAGCATTCCATGAGCCAGTCCTGGGCAGCCCCGGTCCCTTCCTTGGAGCACAGAGTGGCAGGAGCAGTGCTGCCTCTGGGGCCCGGTGCTTCCTCGCATCGTTTGGACATGAGATCACATTTGGAAGTGGTTTCGGACTCCTCCCGTGTTGGTGGAAATTTTGCACATGGTCACTGGTAACTTGGATGGCCACGGAGATGCCTTTGTGTCCATGGAACTGCTTGCAAATGGCAGCCTCGTGTCCCTGCTGTGACGTGTGGGTGCCTGTGCCAGGCTGTGACAGTTGAGTGCCTGCATCCTGCTCCCCGAGGTATGTTCCATATGGATCTCAGCTGTCTCCTGAGCTTCAGTCCTGCTCCAACGAGAGGGTCTTGCAGCTCATTCCCTATTTGTGCCAAAAGCACCGAATGAGGAGTGCACAGTGACAGAGAATGTGCTTTTCGTTACAAAGGCTAATGCCATGTCAACCAAATCTGCTTACCCCGAGCGTGCTGTGCCCTGGGCTGCAGCCTGCAGGGCTGTGTGAGCACTGCCTGCAGGAATGGAGGAAGGCACGGGGCAAAGCCAAGCGCCGTGAGCACCATCAGGGATCTGGAGCATATTCAGCCATTAGGTCTGTGTATCTTGAACGGCTGGCACTCCTCCTCTTGTCCCTGAACCACCCTTTTCCCAAAGCTTCTGCTCCTCTTTGATGTCTCGATGGCAGCAGCCCTTGCTTTCAGTTCTGCCAGCTCTCCCATGTGATGTGGTTCCCGCAGGAGAAGCTGAACCCTCCTGCACTCGTGCCAGGCTGTCTGCACACGTGTGGCTGAGGAGAGCTGCTGCAGCTCTGGTGGTGATTTCACTGAGCAGTGCCCAATGGGAACTTGGTGGCACTGCCACCACCACTCCTCTCCTGCTGGCTGACTACAGGGAGCAGCACACCCTGCGTGACCGAAGCTCTTTCTGTGTCCAATGCAATGGCACGCCGCTGTCTGCCTGTGCCAGGAGTGGTGATGGTGGCACTGCTGCCAGCATCTCACACCACACTGCGGGACAGAACCGCCCCTGAGCCGCTGCCGGTGAGTCACAGCGTGGGAGGGCTGTGCAGTGCAGTTGGAGAGCTCGAAACAGTTAAGCAGCGTCCATCTGTGTGTGTGCACTATTGCTTTTGCCCCTCCTTAGCTCTCCCACCGCTGCTCCTTGGAGCTGAGCCCTTTGCCCAGGGGCCGGTTTCAGCAGCATGGTGCATAGGCCTGCGTGGAACAAGTCAGACCTCCAGCTGCCTGCTTGCCCCCTCAGTGCCTTCTAACGGTGCCCGGGGTGGCTGCTGGCCATGCTGCTGCTCCTCACTGTGCCTCGGCCTCCGTTCCTGATGGACAAAGCCAGGACTGACAGCTGCTGCTGTGGTGAGTGCCCCGGCTCTGCCTTTCCATCCTGGAGCAGGCTGCAGCCAAGAAATACACATTCGGGGGGAGATGGAAAAGTCTGTAAGGTGACCTTCTTGTCAAGAGATTTCTTGAAAGCCACGTTTCCTTTGCAGCCAGACAATTTGCTTTGGCTTTTGTGCTGTGGGCTGAGGGAAGGGTTAGGAGGTGCAGTTTGCTTTGTTGTTCAGCTTTCCCTTGAAAAGAAGAGCAGAATTTCTTTTACCTTTTTTTCTCCCCTTGAATGGCTCCGTGGCTCCCATAGGGTGAGGGGCTGCTCCCACTGGCCCCAATGTGAGGAGGGCACTGAGGCTCAGGGTGTGGCTGTGCACATGGGGAGCAGAGGGAAATGGATGCGGCCGGCCGTGGGTGGCTGCAGTGTGTGCACAGTGCATGGCTTTTCCTCAACCCCTCTGCTCTCTGCTTAAGATGCTGCAGACGTAGGAGAGCTGCGGCCTCTTTAACATTCGGGCTCATTTCACACCAGGCTGGTGGCAGTGTGGTGACTCCACGGCATGCCAGCTCCTGGGGACCTCTGACTGTTTCCTGAGCCTGTGCCAGAGTGCCCTCTGAGCACTGCCAGGCAATGGGATGAGAACAGGCTTCGGCTGGGAGTCCCAGTAGCAGCGATGCGCCCATCCCACACTGCCTGCCGTGGAAATGTCATGTTCAGATGGAGGAAAGGAAGGCAGGAAGTGGGGGGGTGGGAGAGGGAAAGGGCTGTGCTGCTGAGCAGGGTGAGCTGCAGGGCAGGGGGGCGGATGCGTGCTTGCAGCAAATGGAAATTCCTCCCTGGGAACTGCCGTGCAGCTGTGCCAGTGACCAATGCTGCAGCAATGCTGGGGGGTCCCAGCACAGCGCCTGTGTGCTTTGGGCAGCAACAGGAATCTGTGACTTCGGGTTAATCCCCTCGTGCTCCCAGTGGAGGGAATCCTGTGGGCATGGAGGAGTTCCTGCCCTGGTTTATGCAGACCCGTGTTTGCATGAGCAACGTCATTTGGCTGTTTTTTGAAGCTGGGATTTCACATCAGGGTTCTATGCCACGATTTGCAGTTGGTTTTTTTTTCCCGAAGAGCTGCATGGAGGCCTCCAGTCTGGGACAGGAGGATGGCAGTGGGACACAGACACTGCAGCACCAACTGTACTCCAGGGGGTGTCCCCAGGGCTGCGGGGGCTCTGGCACACAGTAGGGGTCCTTGGGTGCCCCGGCTGTAAGGTGCCCCACTCCTGTTCTGTGCTGCACAAAGAAAGGAGCAGAAAGCCCACAAGGGAACGAATCCTTCTCTGTGCAGTTTGTAACAGACCCAGGTGTTTCTTCTCAATAAATGCACAAAAATAGGAGGAAGTTCCCTCCTGTCTTAAGTAAGTAAATATTTTATTAATACTGGGATTTAAAAGCAGAAGGAGCTGAGGGTGGCTCCAAAGCATGCTGTGCTGGAGAGGAGTTTCTGCATGTTGCACTGCTTGGAGAAGCAGTGGTACGGAGCTGTGGGCTCCCTGCAGAGGTGAGAGCAATGCTGCCTTCGCTGCTGGCCTTTGGTGGTGGCTGCAATGCAGCTGCACAGTGTGCTGGGGATGGGAGGAGGCTGTGAGGGCATCTTTCTGCTGACCTGGGTCTGAAACGCTTCTGAGCAATGGAAAAGCAGAATCCTATTTTTGTCAAGGTGAAGGCACACACTGCACGGGGCTTTGGGACGGCGCCTGCCTGTCCAAACAGTGAGTGAGAGCTGCAGGAAGGCACGGCACAATTGTAGAAAGGGTGGGGCAAGGAGCACTTGTTCTGCTGAGCATCTCCATAGCTGTTTGCTTCTTGCTTCTCCTTTGGGGTTCCAGTATCTGGAATGAGAGCACCCAGCAGCCAGCGTGACTCAGATGGGAGAGACTCAGAGATGTGTGACAGCACACGGTCAGCGAGCTAATGGTTGTCAGGGGCTGTACTCAGGAGGGAGGCACTGATCTGCTCGCTTCCAAGCACAGTGCACAGGATGCAGAAAATGGCTACGTGCTCTTATCTGTTTCTGAGCAAAAACCACAGTGTCTGATATGATCATCAGCCTTTGGGGAGCTGTTAAAGCAATGCTGGGTCCTTGTGAATGCAGTAATTGCATTAGCACACCTGCAGGCATCCGTTGGCCCCAGGGTGGATTTGCTCTCTGGGTGCAGGGGTGGTTGAGCAAGAGTGTGAGAGAGAGGGGCATGGAGGCAGTGTGCAGAGCTCTGCTTTCTGCTCTGCCTGGTGTTGTGCTGGAGCAATTCGGTTCAGAGCTGGTCCAAGTCTGGGGTTGGAACGCAGTGAGAGGTGGAAATGCTTGTGGGGAGCACATCTTTGGTTACCTGCAGAGGGGAAGTGAGTGCACTAGTCTGTCCGCAGTGACCAGTTCACCTCACACACATCTATCTTTATCCAGTCTGCTGCGAGGGCTGTAGCCCCAAAGCACAGCAAAAAGCCACCAGGCAGTTCCGTCCTGTATCTACATCCACATCTTGTACCTGCAGCCTGCACACCGGCTGTGTTGTTCTCTCCTGCAGCTCTCCTCTTGTCCTGGTGGCCATCTGCATGGACAAGGCTTAGAGCAAAGCGCATGTGGGTGCAGCATGCTGGCTGGTGATTTCTATATTGCCTCCTGCAGCAGTGTTCCCCAAAGATCCCCTTTGCTCATCTGGCACCCCACACTGCTTGTCCATGGCATACCAGGGCAATGATGGGCTCCAAGGCTGCAGGGGCACGGTGCTGTCCCCTCCCTGCCACATCTCAGCAGTGCCCGAGCAGTGCCGGGTGCCTCTTGGAGCACATGGGATATTTTGGCACCCAGTGGAGGCATCCAAACAATTCCTCGTTGGCGATGTTGCAAGGAGCAGCTCCCAGAATTCAAGACCTCTTCGCAGAGCAAAGGTTAGTTATGGGAACCCACTGCACCTGGGACATTCCTGTCTCTGTGCCCTCTCCATGCTCACAGCTTTGAAATCTCTGTGGTTTGCTGGGCTCTACAGGGAGCTGGAGGGTTGAGCAGCTGATCGTTTCTATGTATTGGCACAGCGTGCTGAGCTGTGCAGGATGGGGGATGCCCGCAGCTCCGCTCCCCTGCCCAGCTCCAAGCCCCTGACTGGCGTGGGCAGAGCGCAGTGTGCGGGGTGTGGGCAGTGCCAGGCTGGGCCCTGCAGAGCTGGGCATTGCAGGCAGGATGGATGCCTCTGCCTTCAGTGGCACTGCACTGCCCCTGGCCGCAACACCTTCTGCAGTGCAGGGTGTGTTTCCCATGTGAGATGGTTGTTTCACATCCTTGCTTGTGTAAGTGGTCGAGGCGCGACCCGCTGCTTAGGTGGAGTGTTGGAATTTTCTATTATTTCTTTAAAAGTAGGCAGGGACTTCTGCTTAGGGGCTGGGAACAGGGCTGAATTTCTGTGTATTCAGTGTTGTTGGCAACAGTTTGTTTTAAACTGGGGTGGAAGGAAAACATGCAAACACACCCAGAAGAGGTTCCCCACGCAGTGCTGCGCTCCCATCTGCCTGGCAGCAGATTTCATGGCTTCCATTATGTCATATGGGCAATTTGACGTTGTGGTTCTCTTTTCACACACTAATTGGCTGTGTGGGACTTTTTATGGGGAATTCAGATCCTGAGGTGCTACTTCTACTTTTTTATCATTTATGTTAAAACGAAAGTGCTGAGCCAGGGTCCTGGAAAGTGGTTTTGCTGTCAGGCATTCTGTTTGCCCCCAGTGTTACCACAGTCCGTGTGGTCAGTGAAATGCCACACCGCAGGAGCTGGCAGGAGGAGGAATGTGAGGGACTCTCCTTTCACCAACAAGGCGAGAGCCTCTCTTCATTTCTCCTTCCCAATCCTCCCTGCAGGGCTGGGCTGTACAGTCAGCTCCCAGTTGCCGACTCGTTCGCCAATCTGCCATGCAGTGCCCTCTGTCCCCTATGCTGTGTCACAGCAGAGAGTGCAGCCCCTGTGCCACTGCAGCCCGGTCCCCAGGGACTGGTTCAGGTCCCCACTGCTGAGGATGAGATCACTGGGGTGGGGATGGTGCCTGCATGTGAGCCTTTTCCTTGAGAAACTCCCCATAGCAGCTGCTGGAGAAAGCAGAAGCTGTGCCCAGGGGGGATTCTCTGGTGTCTTGTAATGGCTGTGCACCACCAGGAGCTTTTTCCCCCTATGGGGATGTCTGGGTGTTTGCTGAGGGCTCCTCTCACACAGACTGCTGCCTCTGATGTGGGAGCCATAAAGGAGCTGTTTGTCTGCCTGCCCAGCTGCGTTCAATGAGCTCACCAGCAGCTCTGTGTGTGTCTTTACTCTGTCAAATCTGTGTGAAGCTGGGCAGCAGGTTGGAGTGCTGCTGGTACTGACAGCTGGAGTACTGCACGCTCAGGGAAAGGGAAAGGTTGCACAAGTCTTCTTAGGAAACCCATCTAAAAATAACAGGAACAAGGCAGCCCTTTTTCTCCTCCCCAGAAATCTGTGACATTGAAGATGGAAGTGCTGCTGTCTTTCTCTACTCCATGTTATCTGTTGTGCCCTTTCTGTGCAGGAGCCCTGCTCGTGCCATGTGTGCTTCCTCCCAGCTGGGTTTACTGGCGATAGGAAGGCAGCTCTGTGCAGCTCCTTCTTACCTTGCCCCCAAGGAAGTGAGCACGCTGTGTTTATGCACTGTTTGCTGTCCGTGTGCCTGCTCCTCCTGTCATACAGTTTGAATGCAATCATTTCCGTCACGTTCGAAAGACAGATCTCAAAGATATTAAGCTGCTACAAGCCGGTGAGAGCTCTTTGCTAAGAAGAGGAGGGAAGGAGACCCTCTGCACGAACTGCTGTGAGGATGAGCTGTATTAGACATCAGAGAACCGGCACAGGCATGCAGCTCGGTAGGGAACCTGTCCCCATCCCTGCTCCAGTGGCTCCTGGCCACCAGCACGTTTCTGTCCGTGCAGGCGTGCATCCCTGGAGAATCAGGGGTGGGATTTCCAGCAGGGCTGCGGGAAGGTGCTCAGCTGCCCATTGCTGGCTGGGGGTTCTCAGCCTGCTGTGCCTGGGCTGACGCTCACAGCTGAGGGTGCTGGGGAGGACTGAAGACATGGCTTGTGGTGGGTGACGCTGTCACAGAGTCTGGCCACAGTCTCACTGCTGCCACTTCCCCCGTGGGCCATTCACAAGCCGCCTGTGACATTCGTATGAGCGGTTTTCTGCCCATTCTTATCAAGGCTCGGAAAGATCCTTTCCTGCACTTCCTTGGGAAAGTACTTCTGTGGAAAGGGCGGTGGGAGGAGGAAGCCGGCGGCCAGTCTGGGACAGGGACACTTGGAAACCTTTTCTGTGCCCGTCTGTGGGACGGGGTCTGGGCTCTGTACAGGCGTTGGGAAGGCAGCTGGCAAAGCTGAAAAGCGGCTGAGGAGTGGGGCAGGTGCTGAGGCTCAGCAGCCCGTGGCTCTGCCTGCCAGCACTCGGGGTTGTGAGGGGCTGTGGCATCCCTGCACCACCTGCACAGCTGAAAGATCCTCTGGTGCCTCGGCCATGCTCTTCTACCAGCTCGGTCCTGCTGCTGGCATGGGTAAGCTGGGCACTGCTGCGTGCTGGGTGGGCACACGGTCTGCTGCTGGTTTCCCTTCCTTCTGCCGTCTCCTTCAGAGGGTGGAAGTGCCAGACCCAACCCCTCCTGTGGGCAGGGAGATTCCTGTGGGGCAGCAGCGTGTTGGGAGGGTTGTGCTCCTCGTCTCTACAGGGGACACCTGAATCTTTGGGTGCCAATGGCTCAGCTCTGAGGATAGGAGGGGCAGGGGGAAGGCAGGTTGAGGTGAGGCAGCTGTGTCAAGGAGCTGTGTGGGATTGAAGGAGGGACACAGGTGATCAAAACGGTCTGAGAGTGTTCCCCACTGTAAGGTCACAGCAGTACCCACCCCATGGCACTGGATGGGGGCTGCAGCGAGGCCCCTGAATCTCAGCCCCACTGAGTCCTGCTGGGGCTCAGCACACAGCTAAGGCAGCTGAGCTGTTTGGATCCACATTTGGATGCTTGTTCCAAACCTCCTCCCTGAAATGCCTCAGGCATTCGGGTCAGGGGTTTTGCCTTGGTTCTGTCCTTAATTGAACTGCTTGGATTGTCCTTTTAATTTATTTTTTTTTGTGCAGCATCTTTGTGATTGTAAATGCAAGAGGAGCTCTCAGCTGCAGCTGTCAGTAGATGGTGATGAAATTGGAGAGTTTCACTGCCATGCACTCTGGGTGAATCAGGCTCAATCCCAGTGTTTTCTGGGTTGAGCTCTGTGGGAGGGAAAGGCAGAAATCTGGAGCTGCAGTCACATTTTCTACATTTGCAGTCAACTGTTTGTTGTGACAAGAACTGTAAATCTCAGCAGACAGATGGGCTGCTGACACCAGACAGCAGCTTTCTCTGGCTGCACATTCCCTCAAGTTCTGTAAATCTGAGAAATTTCCCGGAACTTAGTGCTGGCCTTTGGATGGGCTCAGCCTGGGAACAGCTGAACTGTGGATGAGGAAGCAGGGATGGGGTGGGCAGGGGTTGAAGAAACCGTTGGGGCTCTGGTGGCTGGGCAAGCTGTCTGTCTGCATCCCGTGTCCAGTGTGGCTACAATTCTGTGCTGGAGAGCCTGTGCTTATAGCAGGGTGTGCTGCGTGCCAGGATGAAAGCGAGCTGGAAAGAAAGGAGGGGGGGGTGGTCAGAGATGGGGGAAGTGGGAGGGAAAAGAAAAGGTTCTTTTGGCAGACTCCTCTGGAGGATGTTTGCAAAAGTTCCATGAAGTGACCAGCCCTAAGCTTTGATGGGCTCAGAATTAATTATTGAAAATAAAGATGTTCCTCTCCCTCTCCTGGCAGAGCGCTTTGTTTGGTTTGGTGGGTTTAGAAACGAAACGTTTCATTGGGAGTTAGAATTAGAACTGTGTCCGTGGGCCTGTCCCTCCTGTGCTGTGTTCCCTTTGTCCCACGTCAGTGGAGCACCCCGAGCTGGGCAGTTTCTGCTTGCTGTCCTGTCCGGTGCGGGCAGGGAGCCCGCAGTGCCCCATCGCTGCCGGCACCACGCTCACACCTGCTTCCCAGCGGGCGTTCCTGGTCTTCCTTCTGCTTTGTGCATACAGAACTGGGCTCAGGTGGCGCGGCTGCTGGGCTCCCGGTGTGGGGAACTGCAGCACGGTACAGCGTCGCCTTTGCCAGTTGGATGCTCAGACTGTTCCTTTGCTTTGTTTCAGAAATTGAAGCCAAGAAGGCTTGTGACTGGCTGCGAGCGGCGGGATTCCCGCAGTATGCCCAGCTTTATGAAGGTGAGAGCTGCCCAGCCTGGTTTGGGGCAGGGTCGCAGCGTCTGGGTGAGGGGTGAGGGAACACAGCACCCCTGCTGCAGGGCTGCGGGGGAACATCCCAGGGCTCCTGGTTGGGCCAAGGCGGGTCGGGGTGCGTGCATTGGGTGTGAGCGGGCTGTGCCAACGGCCAGCGCTGGGAGTGGGTATGTCCTGCCTCTCTGCCTCCCGCTGGGCCCTGCAGACCCGCTCCCACTCCCCAGCCATGTGCACGGTGTGCTGCAGGTGAGCTCCTTTGCGGCTCAGCCCCGTACGGTGGGAGCCTGCAGGGAGCCCAGCCCGGCGGCCGCAACAATCGGCGGAAGCGCGGCTGTGGGGCTGCGCCGCCCACCATTGTCTGCCTGCCCCCCCGCTCAGCCCGTGAGGATGGTGTTACCCAGATACAGCCCTGCCAGGTGATGACCTTACTGCGTGGGCACGGCCTTACCAGGTGCCAATGGCCTTACCGGCTGCCCTCTGCTCCAGTTTCTGCCCAGGTCCTGCAGGTGTGCCCGGCCCCAGGGGTCTGCTCTGACCGAGTGGCTGCAGTCTGTGAATAAACCGCCCCTTCCCCAGCCTCTGAGCAAAACTTCCCACATCCTACAGCCGTTTCATTCTGCTCCCCACAGCCGGCAGGGCTGTGTGTCCCTTTGGTAATTGCACTCCATGGCGGCGCTGGCAGCCAGGTGAGCTCACAGCTCCGTGCCCAGGCCCTGTGCAGCAACCCCTGAGCTCCCTGTGAGTGCGGAGGTGAGGGGAGCTGGAGGAGGTCCTGGGGCACCTCATCACCCCAAAATGATCTGCCCAGGGAGTCCGGGCACACAGTGCCTTCACTTGAACTTGAAAAGATGAAAAAGATTCTGGAATTGCTGCAGCCCTGTACTGGTGCTGCTTTCTTGGGGTGGAGACTTCTTAGCAGCTCTCAGCTCTCTCCACTGGAGCCAAGAGGCTTTCTTGACCCTGATGGAATAGTGGACAAAAGGAATCTGGACACTGAGGGATCACTGTGCATTCAGTGTGTTGTTCTATGGGCACCGAGATGGCCGTCGAGCACTGGTTGGTGGTGGCTCCTCTCCAAAACCCGCCATGGCCCGAGGTCTCCAAGCAGGGGTAACATCTCCACTCAGATCCCTCTTCTCTCACTCTGTGGACCTGGGCTCTTCTTGCTGGGCTGCTCTTCCCTTCCAGCGGTGGCAGCCATCGCAGTGGCTGCTCCTGGTGTCAGTGCCATATACAGGCCTTGCTTTTTTCTTTGGGCTGGTGTTTGCCACCCTCACTGCTGCTCTATGCCCCCTGCTCCTGCCTCTGCCTCGCTCTGCTTGCCCTGCCTGCCCTCACCTCTCCGTGGTGGAGCTGCCTGGAGCTGTACTGACCACCTCTTGCCTTTCTCCCCAGACTCGTTGTTCCCTCTCGACATCGGCGCTGTGAAGAAAGACCACAGTTTCCTGGACAAGGATTCTCTCAAATCTCTCTGCAGGTAAAGTTCCCACAGAGCTGGCTGGTGGCAGCAGAATGCCAAGCTGAGCCCTGCAGGTGCTGCCTGCTGTCCTGCAGTGACTGCGGATGCTTCACACAGCTGTTGTGTTGGGTGGACTGTGGTGCCGGGGAAACTGCACTGTTTTTTGTTGTGAACATGCAGAGCTGCAGGAGAACAGACATTAGCCAGAAGTTCTTTTTGTTTGATTTTGGAGCCTTGTTGTAATTTTACATGTGGGCAACTCCAGGCTGTGGAGCTCTGCTGCAAATGGATTGGTGAGAGGTGAGCTGTAACACTGATCAGTGGTGCAAGGAGACCTGGCCTTACTGCCTGAGCTCCTCTCCTTCCTCCTGGCTGCTCTGGGCCATGCTTCATGCATGCGTTGTCCGGGGGGGAGAGCCATAGAGGAGGGACATCTTGTTGCTTGATTTTGCAAGGATGGTGTTTGGAAAGCGCACCTCTGTGTTGGTCTGTGTGTGGTTTATGGTGTGAGCCAGATCCAGGTCAAAGTGCCCGTGGATGAAATTCTGTCTGCAGACAGATTTGCACTCGGTCATTGGGTTTGTGCCACCTGTGACAGAGAGCAGGCATGCAGTGAGGGATTTGCTGAGCGTTCGTGCAATGAGAGGCACTGCGTGGGACAGAGGTGCTGTGTGCTGGCCCTGTGTGTGGGTCCTTGGCAGCTATGGGTGTTCAGAAGCACGGGTTCAGGAGCTGTCAGCTGTGCAGCGCCGGTTTGCATCGTGCTTGTAAACTCCTGCTCATTCCTGGAATAAATGCTGTTCTGGTGGCTCCGAGGGCTGCCCTGCTGACAGAGCGGTGTTGGTCACCCAGCGCCTGGCAATAGGAGCCGGCACATTTCCCACAAGGACGTGCTGCTCTCACAGTGCAGGGTTGAAAATAGCTCTGAGAGATGCCACTGTTGTTTTTTTTCTGGCAGAGGAAGCAGTGTGGCATTTCAGAGATGAGCTCTGAATGACCAAACACCGACAGGAGGAACCCACGTCTGTCTGTCCGTCCAGGCTGTGTGTCACGTTGGCGGGGAGGTGACTCAGCTCTGCTTTTGTTTTTGGGCCACATCACCACATCTGTGTCCTCATGCTGAGAAGCTGAGCAGTGCTTGGCACAGCTGTTGCCTTCCAGACACGCTTTGGGGAGCAGCAAGGTGCAGGGCGGGATGGCTGCAGGCTGCTTGTTGCCCTGCGTTGCCTGCAGTGCTCATCTTCTGCTGATGGTGCTGTGCACAGTGCAGGCTGGGGAGGCTGTGAAGTGCCAGGGTGAGCACCCACCCCCGTTTGAGCTTCTGTGTCCTTTTGTCTTTGCCTGGCAGGCCGCAGGCATTCACGGGGCGTTTTGCTCTGAGGGCCAGGTGCAGGTTGTCCCTGTCCTGCATGGATGGCTCCCAACAACTGCATGGACAGGGCAAGGCCAGTGCTCTGCTGCCAGCTCAGCCTGCTGCTCTTGGTGAGCAGATGGATGTTATCTCCAAGCTGTGCTGCTTCTGTACCCAGCAGACCTTCTCAGGTGGCCATTGGGCACAGCAGGTCACCTTCATCCCGTGCTGAGCACAGGCTGAGTTCAGAGCAGAAGTCACGTTTTTGACCCATGATAGTCATTGCTTTGCAAAGTTACTTTATTCCCTGAGTAATCACTCATTCACAGAGCTCTCTGAGCACTGTCCTGGAGGCAGATAGATGTGATGAGCAGCCTAGAGAGGGTGACACTGCCTCTGCTCCCAGGGGGTGGGCTGCACAACTGTGCTCATGTTTGGAAGTTTTCAGCAGAATTACGGAAGGGGCATTAATCACATTTTTGGTAAAGTGTGCCTAAGATTTTTTGTTGTTGTTGTTGGATGTGCAGATACGCAATTTTCACACTGGAACAGAAGTTGTGCTCTGCTTGCAGAAGTGTTTACAAAGTGCTAAATAAAATGAATGAACTGGAGATTCATTCACTTGTGTAAAGAAACAGGACCTTAATCTGTAGTTGAGAGATAGGCAGAGGGGCAGAGCGGGGGGCTCAGGACAGGCTGGGGCAGCAGCGTCCCTCTGGGGTTTGCTCAGAGCTGCTCTGCTGGCTTCAGCTTGGTGACCTCCCCGTCCCTGTGTTTGTCCTTTCACACCCCAGCACGTCCAGGGTGCTGTGAACCGGGGAGCCGGGCACCCTTTGATGCTGGGGCTGCTGCTGTGTGAGAGTAAACGTGGTGCTGGGGGGCTGCAGGCACCGAGGCACGTCTGGGACGTCCTGCTGTCTGCAGAGTGCTGCTCTGATGGCTGCGCTGGCAAAATCCCTGCTGGCCCACAACCAAGTGCCTGTGCCACCAGCGTGCCGGAGCGGTTTAAACTCCTCTGCTGCCGTGCCAAGGGCTCATGTGATGGCTCCTGTGCCGGGATGAAGGAGGTGCAGAGGGCCCCTGGACTTCTCTGCAGGCAGGGTGCAGCTCGGGAGCCTGCCCACAGCTGTGTGCTGTTCTTGGAGCTGCTCCAGCTCTACGTGTCTGCCTGATCCCTGGAGCCACAGCTGCTGGGTGACAGGTGACCAGGCACAACAACAGCTCTGAGACAAAAAATAGAAGAAAAAGGAAAAAGAAAGAAAGCACTGCGAGCGGAGCAGGAAGCTACAGCTGGGATACAGCGTCTCTTGTTTTCTTGCAGGAGGCTGATGACCCTGAACACATGTGCCTCCATGAAGCTGGAAGTCCACTTTCAGCGTAAACAGGTGAGTGCAGGACTCTCAAGGGGAATGCATGGAGCAGCAAGCCTGTTTTTTTTGGTAACATTGGTGCTGTCCCTGTGTTGGTGCACACAGCTGCACATGGCGCTCTCCCCTTGTCCCTGCTGCAAGGAAGGGTGCAGCCTGGGAGCTGCTGACTGCCCTTGTGTGTGCCCATGCTGTCTCTGCCCCACAGCTCCCGGTGCTCCTGGTAACGGTGGTTCATCAAGCAGGGTGAAAACGGGCTGGGCCTCTGCCACTGTGGTGGTGGTGGTGACAGCAGGCTTGGGGCTGTATGGAGCTGGGACTTCTGCAGCGCACAGACCTGGGGTCACAGACCTTTCTTGCACCTCCTTCACCATCACTTCTCTCCTGACAGCTCTGTGGGAGGATTCTCTCCTGCTCCTTTGCTGTGGAGGCGCTGTCCCCCCAGTGGGTGCAGCCGGTCCCTGTCCCTATCAGCAGCACACACGTCCCATATGGGCTCTGCACAGATGGGGCACCATGGCCCCGCGCCCAGGACCCCCACCTGCCCAGCAGAATGGCAGGAAGGCCACCACATGGGGACATTGTTCCCATGTCCGGATCCCCTTCTCTGGAGCACAAAGCAGCAGAAGGGGAAGGGGCTGTGCTGGAGCCGGTTGCGGTGCAGCTGCTGCAGCAGCAGCGGGGTGGAGGGGCTCTGTGTGGAAGAGGTGCAGGGAAATGGACAGCTGCTGGGAGGGGCTGAGGGCTGCTGGGGTGGGCTGTGCCCACCCAGCTTCCATGGACCGGTGTTCTGCTGTTATAGATACAGTTACTGCCTGGGAGCTGTTCTGAGGCAGTGCAAGAATGTTACTTCACTGTGTAGCCCAGCACTTGAGCTTGGGCACAGCCATTCCTTGTGCTCCCTGAGCCCTGCTGCAGAAGGGGTGGAGTGGCCTCGTTGTGTGCGCAACGGGGAGAATGCTGTGCCCTCGGTTCAGGAGCTTGTCCCTGCAGAGCAGGGTGAAGGACACTCTGAGTGTCCCTGGTCTGATGGTTCCCTCTGCTCTGCCACCCACAGAATGAAGACTCTGAGGATGACGACCTGTGCGCCATCAGTGACCGGTGGGCTTTCCAGCGGGACAGCAAGAGGTGGTCCCGGGTGGGCTCTGCTGATGTCCTCTCCCAGGCCTCCGAGGTCCCCACCTCCAGCGTGCGGCAGGCGTCCAGCCATGAGAGCGTCCTCACTGACCTCAGCACCAACCCGGAGGCTGTGTCCCTTCACAGCAGTGCCAGCATGGGCAGCACGCTCGGTGTTGCAGCCACACCACCTGACCTGTCCCCCGACCACGGTGCTGCTGTCACCCAGCCCCCCTGCAGCCCCAGCAGCTGCTCCTTGGCCAAGCAGCCCTTGAACCACGGCGAAGGTTCCAAGGAGAAGCCAAAGAAGCGGAGATCTCGCAGCTTCCTGAAGAGGATTGAGTCGCTCCGAAGGAAGGACAAAGAGAAAGCTGGCCCAGATGAGAAGGATGTTCCACACAGCAGTGTCATGGCCAATCCTGGCTGGGACTGCGCAAAGAATAATGGGGACCTCTCAACCACCAAGGCCAGCTCCCCTAAAAGAGGAGTATCTGCCTCTTTCCATGGCAAAAAACACTTCTTCTCAGTGTCATACAGGACTAACCGCTTGGTGGGCTCAGGCAGAGGCAAGGTGGGATCTGACCCAAAACGCGGCGGGCTCCACCTGGAGGCCTGTCAGGCAGCCACAGAGCCCGGTGGTGACTGGGCTGCAGGACAATGCCAGCACCGGCAGGCGTGCCGTGGGGACTGCCTGGTGTACGTCCCCAGGGACCACAAACCGGGCACCTTTCCCAAATCCCTCTCTATTGAGAGCTTGTGCCCCCTGGGCAGCGGCTCCTTGAGCAGCTGGAAGCCGGGAGCCAAGCCTGGGGGTCTGCTGGGGGGCTGTGGCAGCAGCAGCAGTGTGGAGGGCTCATCCCCCCCGCAGGGCTTTGCCTGCCGTCGCCGCGGTTCCTGCAGCTCCCTGGGCAGCCGGGTGAGCGTGTACGACAACGTGCCCGAGTTTGGCAGCACCGAGGATCTCTGCAAGGGAGATGAGGAGGTGACCTATGAGAACCTGGACGATATCCTGCAGCACATGTGGGGGCTGCAGCAGAAGGTGGAGCTCTGGTATAAAGCCATCTCCCCCGAACTGGTGGGGGAAGAAGGGGGCGAGGAGGAAGAGGAGGAGGAGGAGGAAGAAGAGACAGACTCGGGAGGGGAGCCCACCTTCCCCTCCAACCTGCACCTTGAGGAGCGCTCCATGTCAGACGTCGGCACCTCTGCCAGTGACTTTGACAGCACGGGCAACTCCCTGAACGAGGCCGAAGAGCTGGAGATGCGGGAGCGCCGCGACTCGGGCGTGGGAGCGTCGCTCACCCGGCCGTGCAGGTAGCGGGGCTGCGGGCTGCGGGCGCGACTCGCGGCTGCCCCCTGGCGGCCGCACTGCGCCGCTGCTCCCAACGCGCGGCGCTGCCCGTGACGGGCCGGCTGGCGTGGGCTGAGCGCGGCTCCCTCGGAAGGCAGCGCTCCCTTTCGCTGTGCTGGCGCTCCCTCGTGCTTTCTCTGAGAAATCTCCCGGCGCTGCTGAGTTCTGCGGATTTCCCAGACCTGCCGGGCTGATGCTAAGGGCAGGGTGCCCCTGAGCAGGGCAAAGAGGAATGTATGGAGGTGGCTTTTCTCGTGAGTTGGGAATGTGCTTTATGTCCTGCTGGCCTCCGCAGTGCAGCTCAGGGGCTGGGCAGGAGCCTTTCTGGAGCAGCGCAGACAGAAAGGGGTTGATGGGCTCCCAGCAGAGCACTGGCTTGTTGGAGCATCTTTTGTCCTTGAGCAAGCAGGTGTTCCTGCTAGTGCATTTCCCAGAGCTCCTGCAGTTCTGCCAGTGTGCAGGTGGGAGGATGCTGATGTGGCAAGAGTGTCAGGATGGGAGTGGTCCTTTAAGTAGATAAAATATCTCTGTGTGTCTCTGTGCTCTGGCACTGCTCCTGCTTATTCTGTGAGGAGTAGGATGCAAGTCCTTGTGGCACGTGGGCTGGTGCTGGGCTGGCTTGGCTCAGCCTGGCTGCTGCAATGCCTGCACCAACCCCAGGTGCTGGAGGGAAGGCTCTGAACGCCCGCCTTTCCCCACAGAAAGCTGCGCTGGCACAGCTTCCAGAACTCCCACCGGCCCAGCCTGAACTCTGCCTCTCTGGAGATCAATCGCCAATCCTCTGCTCAGCTCAACCTGCTCCAGAAGTGCTCCTTGCTGCGGCTCACAGCCATCATGGAGAAGTACTCCGTACCCCACAAGCAAGCCTGGACGTGGTGAGATGGTGGAGAGGGAGCTGGGATGGAGCCTGGGGATAGTGCTGCCGAGGCAGCTATTTGGTTGCCCTGACCACCTATCCATCCCACCCCGCAGGACTGTGCCCAAGTTCATGAAGCGGAGCAAAGTTCCTGACTACAGGGACAAGTCAGTCTTTGGGGTGCCACCCATCATCAATGTGCAGAGGACCGGGCAGCCGCTGCCACAAAGCATCCAGCAGGCGATGCGTTACATCCGCAGCCAGTGCTTGGACCAGGTGATGCTGCAGCCGTGGGCGCTGGGGGGCTCTGAGCATGGGCAGCTGCTGTCTGCACTGCTGTAGCTGGGGAAAAAAAAGTGAACTGCAAGCAGTTTGTTCACCTCTTGCAGCACTTGAAAGTAGGGAAGGGGGAGAGCAAGGCTGTCCGTGGGGTATTCATGTCTGTGGGGTCATCGCAGCCATCCCATACCTGTGCTGTGTGGTGCTGTGGTGTGCGGTAGGGGGTGAGGAGCTGGGTAGGGGCTCACCTGGCATCCCAGCATGTTCCTGCTCCTTCCTGGCAGGTTGGCATTTTCCGTAAATCAGGGGTGAAGTCCAGGATCCAGGCGCTCCGTCACATGAATGAAACCAGCCCTGACAACGTTAACTACAAGGGGCAGTCAGCGTACGACGTGGCCGACCTGCTGAAGCAATATTTCCGTGACCTGCCAGAGCCCATCTTCACCAGCAAGCTCACCGACACCTTCCTGCAGATCTATCAGTGTAAGGCATGGGGTGTGCTGGGGGGCAGCTCTCTGCTCCCGAGGAGGGGGAGGGTGGGGTTCCATTAAGGTGAGGACAGAGCGCTGACTGCAGGCGCTGCCCTCAGTTGTGCCAAAGGAGCAGCAGCTGCAGGCAGTGCAGGCTGCCATCATCCTGATGCCGGATGAGAACCGTGAGGTGCTGCAGACCCTGCTCTACTTCCTGAGTGACATTGCCTCTGCCGAGGAGAACCAGATGACTGCTGGAAACCTGGCCGTGTGCCTGGCCCCCTCGCTCTTCCATCTCAACGTGTCCAAGAAGGAGAGCACCTCGCCGAGGTAAGGGCTCTGCTCCTGCTGATCTGCTTGGCATTACAGGGCTGGGGGTGGTGTGAGTTGGGGCTGGGCTTTGGCGCCTGCTCTCAGCTCGTGCCATCCCACAGGGTGATGCACAGGAGAGGCACTATGGGGAAGCCTGACCAGAAGGACCTGAATGAGAACATGGCTGCGACACAGGGGCTCTCCCACATGATCACTGACTGCAAGAAGCTCTTCCAGGTGGGTGGCTGTGATGCACTCAGCTTGGTGCTGCCCTCTTGGGTCTGTGGGGTCAGTGCAGGGTGAGGGGAGGGCACCCACAGGGTCAGCCTGGAGCATCAGGGGGCCAGCAGAGCCCTGTTCGTGGTGGAGCTGGTCACAGGCTGCAGCAAGTGTGCCCAGGGAGGTTGCATCTGTCCTTCTCACCTCCTTCAGTGAGGAGCTGCAGTTTTCTGGCTGCCCAGGATCACTCCCAGCCTGATGAGCTGTGCACTCTTGCTTTGTAGGTCTCCCATGATATCTTGCTCCAGCTGAGCAGCTCTTACATGGCAGCAGATGCTTACCCCCATCCCCTGTCCGAATTTGTGTGTCAAGGGGAAGGCAAGGATTTACACTCCTACTTTGAGCAGAGTGTCCGGAACCTGCTCAAAGAGTCATCAGAGAAATTCAAGGGATGGCTGAGCACCCCGGGACCCCTCAACACAGAGCTCTCCTGCAAAAAGGTGAATCTACTGCAAATGGAATCTTTGGATTTACAAGGTGATTTGGGTGCAAAGTAACTAGTGTGGGCACCTGATGAGCCCTTGGTGCCCATTCCCTTCTGCAAGGAGGGAACCGATGGTCCCTGCCCTGGCTGGAGGGGGGCAGCTCTGAGGTGGAGTGTGCTCTATATTCAGAGCCCATCACTATTTACCCCTCTCCACCACCCTAAGCAGCTTTTCTGTCCCATCCCATCATCAGATGCGATGGTGCTGTTGCATGGCAGTGGGACCTGTCAGTGGAACTGCTTGGGGACTGGTGCATGGGCTCCCAGGACAGCCTGCCTGACCCTTCCTTTGGCCCCAGCAGGTTGGGGACGGGCACCCCCTGCGCTTGTGGAAGGTATCCACAGAGGTCGAGGCCCCTCCCTCCACGGTGCTGCAGCGGGTGCTGCGGGAACGTCACCTCTGGGACGAGGATCTGCTTCAGAGCAAAGTGGTGGAGGCACTGGACAAGGACATGGAGGTGTATCACTACGTGACGGACAGCATGGCACCTCACCCACGCAGGGACTGCGTGGTGCTCAGGTGAGGGCAGGTGGGACCAGAGCTGGAGGGGTGTTCTTGGTCTGGCCTGGCTGGCTGCGTGGGCTCTCCCAGCCCCGTGTGGTGCCTTCCCGGTGTGGAGTGGTGCAGCACAGGGCTGAGTGCTGCTCTGTGTGCAGGTGCTGGCGCACAGACCTGCCGCGAGGAGCCTGCCTGCTCATCTCCATCTCGGTGGAGCACGACAAGCTGCAGGTGGAGGGAGGTGTTAAAGCCGTGGTGCTGACCTCGCAGTACCTCATTGAGCCCAGCGCCATGGGACGCTCCAAAGTGACGCACATCTGCAGGGCTGACCTCAGGTACGAGAAACCCTTGGGATCGCTGCTGTTCCTCTGCATCCATGCTTGGTGGTGGAGGTGTGGGAGCTGTTCCTGCATTTTGCTGTGTGTCCATAGTGATGGGGGGGGAGGACACGCTCCTTTTGCTGCCATATTGTCCTTGTTCATCATAGGCCATCATGGATAGCAAGAAACAAGGTGCTGCTTGTGGCCTGCCCTGCTCATTTACCCATTGTCCTGCCTTGCTCCCTTTCCCAGGGGCCGATCACCGGAGTGGTACAACAAAGTCTTTGGGCACCTCTGTGCCATGGAGCTGGTGAGGATCCGAGATTCCTTCCCAGCAGTGAGTCCAAATGGCCCTGAGACCAAGATCTGAGGAGCTGGGAAGATGCTGCATCCTGTCAGACCACAGACTTGCAGCCAATGGGGCTGTGACACTCAGAGGGGAGTGAGAAGCTGACATGCCACTAGGATGGGCACATATTTATATGCTTCCTTTTAACCTGGGCCTGGTCCCCCCCACAGAGCGCCACGGGCTGCCCTAGCTGTGCATGGCCCTTCTCTGCTCCCCTGCAGGGCCGTTTGCCACCATCCCTTGAAGAGACAGGGACAGCTGGACCCCCCACACCTGCTGCTGCTCATCTGTCCTGGCCCATGCATGCTACAGGTCTGGCTGCCGGCAGCGATGGAGCTGTGCCTCAAGGGGCTTCGTAGGAGAGATGGACAAGAGCATCTTGCCCATGGAAAGGAGAGGGGCTTTGTGTGATGCCCAATGGTGAGGGTGTGTGGAGCGAAGCAGGAGGCAGCAGAGGTGTGGGAGCTGAGGGGGCAGTGGAACCAAGGCCAGAGATCACAGTGCTGTGTCAGGAGGTGAGGACTGGGTGGCGAGGGGAGAAGTGTGCATGCGCAGTGTCACCCAGTGTGGGGACAGGCAGGGAGCTGGGCTGGGAACCTGTTTGCTGAAGGATACTTTTACTGGAGGAGAGGACTGCGTAGATATCTATAGATGCATTTACTGACAGCCATTGTCAAGTGGCAGAAGGAATCTACTGCTATTACCTTTGGTGCTAAATTTCATAGGAGACGAAGGAAAAAGCTGTCTGATCCACTGCCTTGGTCTTATTCAACTGAAAGGTGCCCCTGTAAACTGTGTTTTGGTGGGGGCTGGGTGGACGTCCTTCCACACCAGTGTCGGGCAGTTGGATGGGGGTGGACAAGGCTAGAAACCCAGAGCAGCCGCAGGGAAGCTAACGAAGGGGCAGTGATGCAAGGGGGGCTGGGGCAGTGGTGCAAGAAGGGTGGAAGTGGGAAGAGGGATGTGCCCAGCACTGCAGCTCATAGCTCCTTGCTACAGCTGGAGGCTCTCAGTGCACCTCTACTAGAGAGGGGTGAGGGGTGCAGCATCCCCACCAGTGGGAGCTGATCATGCAGCATCTGCTTCCACTAAAACAAGCAAATGGTGATAGAACCAACTGCTGGAGCCAGGTTTAGTACATCTCCTGTGCATTGTACTAAAGAGGCATGGTGGATTCACGTCTCTCTGGGCAACTGCAGGCAGCAGAGCTTGTACCCTACAGGTGTGCAGAGCTCCCCAACACACCCTGCAAGGAGCTTGGCTTCCCCTTCCCAGCCCTTCCTTCTTCCTGCAGCGCCCAGAACTGACCTGGTTTCTCCTTTAGTCAGGGACCCAAGTTACTTGACATCGTTCCAACTGGAAGGCAACACGACCCACGGGCGGGAGCAATTCCCAGTGCCAGTTTTGCCATAACAAATAATGTCTGTCTCGCTTTTGGTTAAAAAGAAAATAAAAATGACCCAGTCTGTATTCTGTTTATATATATATATATATATTTATATATATATATATAAAAAATACGTAACTTCTTGAGGGAGTGATTTTTCTCCTAATATTTTTTTTAAGCATTTCTTTTTTTCTATATAAATACTTGTACAGTTGGAATATTAATATATAACTGCAGCGGTAGAGCTCAGCACCAGGTGATGCTCACTTAAAAGGTGTGTATTTTGTATTTAAGGGGCTATTTCTTGTTTTGTATCATATGCAATGCAACAGATTGTTTGACTTGGATTGGGGCTGCTCTTCCTATCCGTGTAATTAATAAAGTACTAACGAGAGCTGCTGGCTGATGCAGGCACCCTGGTGGCGAGTGGCTGCTGTGAGCTGATGCCCCGTGGCAGAGTTGAGCAGCGTGGTGATGCAGTGCTGTGATGCAGTGTGGTGGAGCCATCTGGGTTGCATCTCTGGGTCACAGAATGCAGCCAGACCAGAGAGCAGCTGTGAAGATGCCCCCAGGGCTGAGCTGTGCAGGGAACGCTCGGTGTGCTGGGGCCTCGTGGTAGTGCCAGGCGGGGTCAGGGGTTGCCTGCCTATAGCACAACCAGCATGAAGCTCTGCCGGGAGCTCAGCTCTGGGCGCCGGGCGTGCAGACAGCCCTTCACCTTCTCCTGGAAGGGAGCCGTGGTGATGGTGTAGAGGATGGGGTTGAGCGCGCTGTTGATGGGCAGGATGAAGATGACCACCCAGGATGCGATGGTGCCTGCTCCAACCAGGAAATGCCATCAGGCAGCTAGCCTCCCCAGCACCCCACACATGCAGCAAAATGGGCAATGCCATCTGCAGAGGCACAGCCCTGGGGGTTCATGACTGCTGCCCTCTTCCAGGGTCCACCCAGGGATGAGCAGTGCTCCCCACCTTCCCCTCACAGCCCACATGTGGATGGAGGGGCACCCAGACTTGACAGCACCCACCCCAAGAGGCCCATGGCTGGGAATGGGGGTGGGTAGCAGCAGACTCGAAGACCTCACCTGGAATTTCCACCTGCAGCAGGGAGAGCAGCTTGAGCAGGAAGATGGGGATCCAGCAGAGAGCATCGGTGAAGACAATGAAGAAGAAGCGCTTGGCGATGGCCACGTCCCGGGGGCAGACGCTGCTCTCTGCTGTTCTGCAGGTGGTGATGCGAATCGAGTAGAACATGCCAGTGTAGGCAAAGACAATGGTGATGAAAGCTGCGAGGTTCAAGCCTGGATAGGAGGGAGAAACTTCTCTCTGAGCGTGTCTGACGGACTAGAAGCAGAGCAGCCCACTTCCAGCAGTGGGAGGAGCGGAGACATCACTGCAGCTTCAGCTTGCCCTGACCCCGCACTCCATTCTCCCCATTCCCAGCCCTGCCCAGGGCCTCACCCAGGTAGATGGTGGTGGAGAAGCCCCTGGCGCTGGGCCGCTCACCCAGTTCAGACTGCAGCGGGAAGCACACCCCATTCCTCCCATAGTAGTTGCCAAAGGACTCCCTGCAGCACAGCGGCACGACGCTGAGCGAGAGGCCCAGCAGCCAGATGGCAGCCAGCACTGAGGCGGTCTGCTTCCTGCCGGCTGTGCGGTAGCTGAAGGGGAACACGATGGAGAAGTATTTCTCCAGGGTCATGTAGGTGAGCAGCAGCACGGACACCTCAGAGGACAGCATGGCCAGGCTGCCCACCAGCTGGCACGGCACGCTGGCCATCCAGCCCTGCGCGTGCCGGTTGTATTCTCCCGAGTACTTCAGGTCGAAGGCGCCAATGACAAAAAGATAGATGCCCATCAGGCCGTCCGCACCTGGGGGGAGAACAAAGCACCATGAGAAGGAGGCACCGCGCTCAGCAGCGCCCATCGCATCGGTGCCCCTGCGCCCCACGGCCGCTCCCGGCTCACAGCACAGGGATTTGATGGCCATGGTGTGCGCGCTGCTCTCTGTGACCACGCAGGAGCGCATGCAGATGACGCAGAGGTTGCCCAGGCAGGTGATGCAGGCGATGACCCAGACGAAGACGCGCAGGATGATGTTGGCCAGGAGGTGCTCGAAGGAGGAGATGCCGTCCGTGTTGGGTTTGCAGCTGCGCACGTGAGGCGCAGAGCTGCAGTACTGGAACTTCTTGAAGTAGCTGCAGGGGGAGGGTGCTGGCTGCTGCCATGGCCACTGCACAGCCATCCTCCTCCCAGTCCTGCTCTGCCCACCCGCCCTGCTCTCCCCATCTAGGTGAAGAAAAGCCAGTGAGACCCTGACACTGCAGCCAAAAGCCTTAGAGCCTCCACTGGAGGACAGGAGTACCTGGTAACCCTCTTCTGCAGCTGGGACAGGAGAGGGATTTGCAGAGCACAAGAGGGCTTGTGGTTTGCACAGCCACTGCAATTTGCTTTGGAAACTAAAGCAGCCTGAATCCTTTACAAAACAGCCTGGAGGCACCCCTGTGCTTTCCTGGATCAAGTGCCACACACTTAAACCTGTGCCTGTTCTGCACTGCTGGCTAATAAATACAGAGTGCTTTCCTTCAGCCTGTGATTCTCACAAACATTTAAAAAATTAATCCCTTTTTTGAGTCTCTCAACTTCCATTAGCAGGGATTCAAATTTTTTCCCCTGCATGTTATTTCAGATTAATCTTTTCAGGCCTTATAAAAGCAATTCCATATAAGCTTAGCAAAACTCTACATTAGAAAATGACTACAAAACTGACATGCAAGGCTCATTTCTGCTTAATTATAGATAAAAGGAGAGAAATGATTGCTTATTAGCAAGTCAGGTAGAAAATGTACCGTATTTGCAGGCCAAACAGACCAATTACAGAAAGGAAGATGTACAGTTGTCATTCATTACAGGTACTCTAAAATGTGCATTTGCAAAAAATTAATCATTTTTTTTTCCTCCTTGCAAAGCACTCACAGCTGGCTCCTCGGCTGCATTGCCACCATGCCCACCTTGCCTGCACATCTCTGCTGTGCTCAGGCCATTAGCTCATGCACAAGCAAAGGACCTCAATGGGATTGTTTAACCCTGGCTTCCAGTACCCACCTCAGTCAGCAGAGCCCACCCTTCACACCCCACCTGTGCCCAAGGCTGCACATCACCCTTGCACAGCACGCACCCCGTGGGGCACACAGCTCTGCATGCCATCCCCTCTGCCCCAGGGGGAGGTTCTTGGCTTGGGTGCCCCTTCCCTTCACACTCACATGTGGGAGAGGTTGGCCAGCCCACGGAAGGTCACGTTGTGGATGTTGGGGATCTCCAGCCCCTCCAGGCTCCTGCAGGATGAAGGCAGCAGGGCTGGGTGCTGCTGCTGGGTGTGGGGCCACAACGGCACTGCGGGGTTGGGGCATTGCGGGACTCACAGGGACAGCAGCTGGGGCAGGCTCTCAAACTGGCTGGGGCAAATCTCCTTCAGAGGATTGTAGGAGATGTTCCTAGAAGGAAACAAGGTGCCACTGTTCCTCCCCCTGGATGCATTTGCAGGAGCTGGAAATGAGGGCAAGGAGCCGTGTTCCTGGCTCTTCCTCAGAGCCCCCCACCCAGGGCAGCACACAGCCCTGATGCAGGTGAGCAGAGTGCCGTACTCACAGCTGCTGCAGGGCAGCCAGGCCGTGGAACAGCGATGGTGGGAGCTCATCCAACCCATTGCAGGACAGGTCACTACGTGGAGCAGAGCAGTGCTTAGGGAGGCAGTGGGGAACCCACATGAGCGAGGGCCCCAACCCAGGGCTCGGGGCACAACAGCCATGCACTCACAGCTCCACCAGCCTGCTCAGCCCAGAGAACGTCCCGCTCTGGATCCACCGGAGTCTGTTCCTACGCAGGATCCTGGGCCAGGAGGAAGGAAGAGCACAGATGCAGCATTGTCCACATGCATTCCATGCGTGTACCCCAGCACAGGACTGGCTGCGAGCACTCGAGATGCTGCAGGGGCACCCAGCTCTGCTGAGCCCCCCTTCAGGGAGATGGGTGAAAACAAAGACAGAGGGTAAAGAAGGCATTCATGAGCCTGTTTGCCGATGGCAGCTCTCACTGTGGGAACAATTGAGGGGTGTGCACTTGGGGGATTAAACACATATCTGGGCTTCTCTATGGAGGGCTGTGTTACAGTCAGATCTCCTTGTCTTGAGAGACACAGAAGAGCATTCCAAAGTGCTCAGCCTCAGAGTTATGGATCATAGCATGGCTTGGATTGGAAGGGAACCCAAGGGTCATCAAATTCCAATGCCCACATCAAATTCCAAGGCCACAGGCAAGGCCACCAACCTCCTGCTCTGGTACTAGACCAGGCTGCCCAGGGCTCTGTCCTACCTGTTCTGAACACCTCCAGGAACGGGGCATCCATAGCTTCTCTGGGCAGCCTGTTCCAGCACCTCACCACAATCTCTCTCTGAAGATCTTCCCCCTGACATCTACTCTAAACCTTCCCTCCTCAAGCTTAAAGTCAATTTCCCTTGTCCTATTGCTATCACCTCCCTCACAAACGTGGGAGAGGAGGTCAGGGAGAACCCAGGTCTGTCCCCAAGGACTGAAAAAACGCACAGGGGACTTTCATCACACCCACATCTCCTTCTGACCATGAGACAGCGGTCTTTCCCTCTTCTGAGAATGGTGACAGCAGGACCAGAATGTGGGCAGCATGAAGCAGCCCAAAGGGAGCAGAGCTTTGTTCAAAGCTCTGCCCAGGAGGAGGGGGTGGGCTGGGGCAAAGGTGAATTCTTTGCTTTCATTGGCGCCAGGGTGGCACCTGCACGAGAGCCTGGAGCACTGCTCAGCCCAGGGCAGGAAGGGACTAAACAGAGCTCGTCGCTGTCTGACACATGGAGCCAGCATATGAGCTTTATGTGCTCCTTGGGGATATTTTTAGGGGCTCTGGATGCCAGTGGGAGGCTCAGAGCTGGCTGCGGGCCCTGCTGCTTGTGCACCACAAGCAACTTTTTCCATGCAGTGCCCTGCCTCTGACCCCGTGGATCACAGCAGCCCCCGCCTGTAGCTCCCTGCCCCGCTGGGTAT